CAGGACAGCTCGATGCACTTCAGCAGGGCGGACTCGGAGGCGTCCCCGGCGGTGTCCCTCTGCAAGAAACGGCCGCAATTCAGAGGACCGCTCTTCAAGGGCCGATGTCTGGGACCTGAAAAGATCTCAACCCTCCGGGGTAAGATCTCAAAAGCCTACCGTTGACCTTCACAGAGAGACCTTTTAAGGAGCCTCTAGCAAACGGCTTTCAATTTTTAAGAAGTAGGTTGATTATAACGAATAGTTAGTGTGCAGACACTACTTTTTGCTTCTGAACTGCAGTTGTGGCCGCAACTATGAATGTATTCCCGTGTGAAAGAGAGCAAATCATTTAATATTTACAAGGAATCAATGTTGATCATAAAGTAAGAGGTTATCCTGGCCCCCCACTCCTCCGCTAGACGGTTTCCCACCCGAAACTCGGCGACACGTACGTGTTCCAGCAGGCAAACGCACCTTAAGTATCAGCACGTTCTCTTGACCTGGTTTGAAGGTGGCTCGGTTGCAAAGACCAGAGATGTGAGCCAGAGCCGTCCAGGTCGGCGAGCTCTTGTCAAAGGTTGAGCCTACAGGGGAAAGACAGAGGCAGGGTTCTGGGTCAGAACATATCAAACTGGGTTTGCATCTCCGCGAGTCTACTGGTCTCACACTGCCCCCTCACTCCCCAGTAATGCCCTAAACTGCCCCACACAGCCCCACACTGCCCCACACTGTCCCACACTGTCCCACACTGTCCCACACTGCCCAAAACATAGGTTTGAACATATCAAACTAGGTTCGCATCTCCGCAAAACACCAATCAAATAAAGTGGAAATGGACCACACTGACACCAGTGTACCCAGATGTAATGTCCTAAATGCTGTGCATTAAGTGATGCTGGGTTAACAAAAGGACACAGCCAGTGTAAAATAACTGAGCAATTACCCCTTATGAGTATAGCTAGGTTTATAACAAGGGGAGCAGACAGAACACATGAGTTTCTACCAACTACCAGGACCTTCTAGAGATATATAGTTTATATAGTATATTTTATATTATGTGCAGGGAAACGCTATTGGAAGACTTCACTATTAATAATAAGAATCCTAACATTTATTAGGGAGTGCTTTTCTGGCCACTCCACTCAAAGTGCTTTACAGGTAATGCAGAATCCCACTTCCACCACCAGTGTGTCCCCCCACCTGGATGAAGCTCCAGTCTGCTCACACACAGCAGCTCTCAGTGGGGAGGAGAGCAGAGTGATGAAGCCAGTTCAGAGATGGGGATTATTAGGAGGCCATGATGGGTAAAGGCCAGGGGGAAATTTGGTAAGGAAATCAAGGTAACAACCTTACTCTTTTTGAAAGATGCACTGGGGGTTTATAATAACCATGAACAGTCAGGTGTCTTTGGACATTTATGTCCCACCTGGAGGTGTCCCTGTCACTATACTGGGGCATTAGGACCCACGCAGACTGCAGGGTGAGCGCCCCCTACTGGCCCCACTAACACCTCTTCCAGCAGCAGCCTCAGCTTTCCCAGGAGTCTCCCATCCAGGTACTGGCCAGGCTCACACTGCTGGGCTCCAGTGGCCTGTCAGCTGTAGCTGCAGAGTGATAAAGCTGCTGGCTCTTAAATGCTTTTTTTTCTGCTCGTTGTCATGTGGCATCCCTTCACAGCTCCCATGGCAATCAGCTACCTGATTGGTCCTCTGTGGTGTCCGCCTCATAGATTTGATTGTCGAACCACATGTGGGCGACGGTCATCCTGTTCTGTGTGAGGGTGCCCGTCTTGTCAGAGCAGATGGTGGAGGTGGAGCCCAGCGTCTCCACAGCCTCCAGGTTCTTCACCAGACAGTTCTTGCGAGCCATGCGCTTGGCCGTTAGCGTCAGACACACCTGTCCGTCAGGGATGAAAAGATACAAATATCAGGAGCCACAGGTGAACTCCCCATGGAGCCCTTATCTCTGGCCAGGTTAAGCTGCAGGACCCCATGACAAACCTTAACTGTCACGTACAGTCAGTCACTATGAAAGTCATAGCTTTCATAGGAACAAGTAAAGGTTTATTCCCATGCTGAAAGGAAAAGAAAAGAGACACAACGTTTCGGCTGTGGAGCCTTCTTCAGGTGTCACCACACAAGCTCCACAGTTGAAACACTGTGTGTCTTTTCTTTTCTGCACAGAATAAACCTTCACCTGTTCCTGTGAAGCCTACGCATGCTGTCACAGCTCCCCACTCAACAAGCTTCTGTAGGTCTTTCTTGCTTCTGATCAGACAATAAACTGAATGTACGTACAGGTCTTGGCCACAAGGGGGAGACAGTTTATTATCATTCCAACTGATGGATGGATTGTGAACGTTAAGCCTGTACTTGCTATACTTAGGTCAGCGGACTTTTCGGTGATCTAGTTGGACATCTACTGCAGCTGATGTGAGCTAATAATTTTTACAATCACTTGGAATAATGCAGCAAGCTCAACGTTAAACAGTGCATCGCAAGGCAGGCAGAAGGTTTGTCCTTCTCACTTGTAGAATTGCACTTAAGCCGATATTTTCTCCTTCATGCAAGCCGGCAAGAAAAAAGATTTAGCTCCTTTCTAAAGGCAGTGGTGCGGGAAGGGAAATGGTTCTGCTCACGGTCACAGTTGCCAGAAGCCCCTCGGGCACGTTGGCCACGATGATCCCGATGAGGAAGATGACGGCCTCCAGCCACGAGTACCCCAGGATGAGGGACAGGGCGAAGAAGCTCACGCCCAGGAAGACGGCGACGCCCGTGATGATGTGGATGAAGTGCTCGATCTCCATGGAGATCGGGGTGCGCCCCACCTCCAGCCCGGAGGC